AGCTCCTGCCAGGCGCCTGCTGGATGCACCCCTGGTGGGCTTCCTCCTCCTCCTCCCTGACCTGAGGGGCTCCGGGACGTGTCGTGCCAGCCCAGGCCTCCGGTCCCGCCTCAAGCCGCCATTCTTGTCACCACAAGTGTGTCACCCATACGGACCTGGGCTCACATGTCCCCATTGCTTCCCCCCCTCATCTTGCTTCCTCTCTCTTTTTCTCTCTCTCTCTCTTTAATTTGGGAAGCAGCTCTCTTAGCAACGGGAAAACTGCACACTTAATTACAGCCCAGCGGCAGACACGGCAGGTGGCGGCAGAGCCGGGGCCCAGGCGCCCCCGTTTCGTGTTGGGGAGGTGACCCTCCCACCTGGCGGGAGCAGTGCCGGTGTCCCGCCCTCCCGTGTGTGTCCTGCACAAAGAACTTTTCCACTGTCCCCTCTCCTCTCACCCCTGCAGTCTGTCAGGCGGACACGCTGAGGAGCTCCGTGGCTCAAAGCCGCCCTTTGTGCCGGCCGCCCGGAATCAGGGCCAGCCGCGCTGCTAATTGTTCCACCGCCCTTCGAGCAGTGGGGGGGGCGGGGGGTCTGATTCCTCCGGGGTAACCACTGCGGCGGCGGGTGGGGCGGCGGAGGCATGGGTGCCGCCGCCTGATGCCTTTCCACGGAAATCTGGGTCACGGGCAGAGATTCCGGAACGCTGGCGAGGGCTGCCCAGGGAGCGCGGGTCCGGGCTGAGGCTTCTGGAACCGGCGGGGTGGGGGGGGGACGCGCTAGCCTCCCGACCTGCCCGCCGCGTCTGTGAGCTGCCGCCGGGCCCGGCAGCATTCAAGGAAACTTGGCTTTTTCTTCCCCAAGAACACCAGGGAAGCACCGTGCGTCCTATTTAGCCCTGGGCGCCTCGCGGCAGGAGTGGCCCGAGCTCCCGGGTTTCCGGGGGGCTCCAGCCCCGGCGGGCAGATGCCTCCGGGGCTCCCCGGAGCCCAGCCCGGCCGGAGGACGCTGGGCGCCCGCCCTCCCGCCCCTCCCCGTGCCTGCCGCTCCGATCACAAAAGCAGAGGAGCGCTCGCTGCTGCCGCCGCCGCTGCTGCTCACATGACGGGCGCGGGGAGAGGCCGCGGGGCTTGAGCGCGGCCCCAGTCTGCGCGCGGTCGGCTCCCAGCTGACGGGCGGACTATGGGGTGGGCTCCGTCACCGGCACGCCGGGTCTGGCACGCCCGGCGGCGCTCGGAGGCACGCCGTGCCCAGAGGCCCGCCGCCGCCGCCGCGCCCCGGGTCCACGCCGCTCCCGCTCCCGCGCCGAGGGGCTGGGCAGCCCGGCGCTCGCTTCCCCCATCGGAGAAGGTTATATAACGAGCGGCGGACGGCTGCCGAAGTCGGGGGGCAAAAATGAAGTCTTTGCTGAACGCCTTCACCAAGAAGGAAGGTAAGGCAGAGCCGCGGGGAGCGCGGTGCGTGGGGACCGCGGGCTCTCCGGGGCGGGAGCAGGGAGGGGGGGCCGGTTCCTCCGAAAATTGCCGGCGGCGGCTCTCAGCGTGCAGACGAGGGGATAATCGCCCCGGCAACACCCGGGCTTTGTTGGAGTTGCCAGGCATTGTCACCACTTGAAGGTGCCGCTGGGTTTTATTTTTGTCCCCGAGTCTCCAGTCCCTCTCGGAGCTGCATTCCAGGACGTGCCTCCGTGGAGACCCTGCCCGCCCGAGGGCACGTTCGGAACTAAGTGGAGGTGGGGGGGGGCAGCAGAGGAAGTTTTGGCTCCGTCTGTCCAGCAGCTGCAGGTGGCGGGCTCGGGCTAAGGGAGGTCAGGGAGGGTCGCCGGCCGTGGCGGCCGGGCGAGCAGTGTCCTCCGGACGCTGCCCCGGGTCCCGGCGGTATGGGGCGGGTGGGAAAGGCCTCGTGGCGGACTTGCATGGCGCGCACACGCCGTGTGCCAGACCCCGAGCCGCCGTCCCCGTGGACAGAATGCACACACGAGCGCCTGTAGCGCGGGGAAGGAAACACCCGCCCACTTGGAGTTAGTTTGCAGATTGCCTGAAAGGAGGAAGCAGTTGGGTGGAATATTAATCACTCCCAGGCAGGAAAAAGAGTTATTTTTAACCCTTTGCACACAGGCACGTAGAAATCCTGGGGAGGTTCCCGGCGGCCTGGCGGACGGAGAGAGTGCTCCGTGTCGCGGAGGGTCCAGGAGATGCGTAACTTCAGGGGGACGGGGCGGGTGCCTCCCGGCGCGAGTCACAAAATAAAGTGAGGAAAAAAAGTCCCCGTTCCATGGCACAGGGAACCCGTTTGAGGCGAGTGTTGGTGGTTGCGCGGGGTGGCTTTGATTAGGACGCTCACCAAACGAACGTCACCTGTGGGATTCCACCTGAAGTGACCCGCCCGGTGCCCAGGGCGCAGGGGCGGGGGGGGGGCGAGGCGTGTCTCCGCAGCTTCGCCCCCCACCTCCAGCGGCCGCCCCCCACACGCGTGCACCCGCCGTTCCGTGAGCCCCACGCGGGGAAGGCCCCGTCGGGGATCTGCACACGGACAGCCTCCGTCTGTGCCGGCTCCCCGCGCTGTTGGCGCATTTTCCCACTCTGGGGCTCCAGGCTCTGGCACCCACGGGTGGCAGGGATCTTGGCCGGGGTGTGCAGTGTTGGGCTCTCTCTCTGTGTCTGTCCTGCTGTCCCGTGGACGCACCTGCCCTTCCGGGTCCGTCTTAGCCGTGGGCAGGACGCCCCCCTGCCCCCCAGACCAGCCCGTCCTGCGTAGGGCATTAAAACCCTTCCCCGCCGAGCCGGTCGGACAGGACACCCGCGTTGCCCGGGAAGCTGGGCGGCGTGGCGCTGTGGGGCGCAGGCGTCTCCCCGTGTGGGAGGGTCCCCTGGAGCGGGGTGCCCCCTCCCCACAGTGAGCGTGAGCCCTGGCCTCTCCCGGGCCGAGGACGGTGAAGACGATTCTGGAAGCCGGGGGCTCCGGGGCCGCGTTCTGCTCGATGTGTCTGCTGGAGTCGTCAGCGCCCGCCGTGACCTCATTTGCAGCCAGCGATCTCTGAGTGACAGACGCTCACTCGTGTGCTTGCTGAGGTGGCGCGGTCAGCAGCCCCCAGCCCTGTGTCAGGCGGGTCTCAGGCCCGCAGAAACCACCCCCCCGGTGCACTCTGCAGCCCAGACAGTGAACACTGGGTCGTGCCAAGCCCTCCTGGCCTCCGTCTGCCCCGAGAGAGGGACACCCCCCTGGTCCTGCCACGTGACGAGCGAAACAAACTTTTCCCCAACATGAGATGTCCTCGTAGGCGGGCCGGGCCCTGGCCGACTGCCCTCTCCGGGGGAACCACCAGCCTGTCCCTCGTCCCTGCCCTTCGCGGCCCTGCTGGCGTCTGCGTCCTCCTGCTCTGGGGAGTCGGGAGTGGGCACAGGCCCTGGTGGGGAGCCCTGGTGGGGAGCCCCCTGGCAGGAGGAAGAAAGCACTGCTGCCTGATGGGAAGGGTGTGACCCCCCCCCCCCCACCACGCGTCACTGCCCAAGTCTCGGCGGCCGCGCCGACCCAGAAAGTGGGTTCCAAGAGTGCGTCCTCAGGGAGCCCGTGCCGACCCTGTGCGGCTTCCCCGGGCGGCCCTGTCTCTGCGTCCCCAGGACCGCCGCCCCGTGTCCCGGGCAGGTGGCCGGGGCTGCTCTGGGTCACAGCTGTCTCCCTGCCGCTCTGCCAGGCCACTCCGTCCCCTGTGACAGCTGCCAGCACCGCTCTGTCTCCCGCGAGCTCTGGCGTCCGGCACGGGTGTGGGCTGGGGGCAGGGCTGAGGTCACTCAGGGGCTCTGGGAAGGGTGCCACGGTCCTCAGTGCCCGTGGCGTGTCCTCGGCATCCTGGGACCTGGGCGGCCAGGCAGTGGTGGCCCGGGACTCCGTGTGGTCCTCCTGGGAGAGGCCGAGATTCCCGCGTCCAGCCCCGGGGAGGGCAGCCCAGGCCGCGGAGTGCAGGTGGTGTGGCGCAGGTGGGAACGCCGCTCGGGTCACGGAGCACTCCAGGAGCTGTGCCCTCAGCAGCCCGGGTCACGGGCGTCTCACACGCCCCTCAGCCTGGACAGCTGCTTTCCTTTAGACGGGAGGGACCCTTTCCGTTTCCGCTCCTGCCCTGGGGGGCAGCCCCAGAGGGCTCAGGGCCCACCCTCCCCCGCCCTCTGGTCCCCCGGGGGCTGCAGCAGGGAGACAGCTTTGAGTCCCTGAGCAGGGAAGGCCTGGCCTCTGGTCTGGAACTTGGTGAGAAGCCAGGCGAGGCTTGCCCCCTGCCCGTCTCCCCCGCTGGGCCGCAGGCTGATGCTGGGGGAAGGAGGGAGCTTGGGGGGAAGCCGGCTGATCCCACCCAACAGCTCTGAGGGCCTTCTCAGGGACCTGGGGCCACCGACGGCAGCTTAAACCACAGACATTCACTTCTTGCTATCCTGGGGGCTGGCATCCAAGACCAGGTGTCTGTCCCAGGGCTGGGTCCCCCGAGGCCTCTCTCCTTCCTGGGTGTGCGGATGGCCGTCCCCTCCCTGTGTCCCCCCATGGCGGTCCCTCCGTGCGTGTCTGCGTCTGAATTTCACGGTGGCCCCGGGCCCGCCCCGGTGACCTCTGATGTCAGCGCCCTGTCTGAAGACCCCGTCTCCACACACGGTCACACCCTGAGGTCCCCACAGTCGGGGCTCCAACACGGACGGATGGGGGTGGGTGCCCGGGCCGCACTTGGCGAGGGGGGGCAGCAGCTGCCTGGGCGTGCACACCGCGCTGTGAGAGGGGCGCCGGCCCGGATGGAAGTCGGACTCCCCGCGTCCCTTCCATCTCCAGCGTTCGCTTGAGCCTCGGTCTCCGCCCGCCTGCGCTGCTGTGCGGGGTGGGTGCTGCGCCCAGCGGGGGCCTGCGGGGGCCTCGGCACAGAACCCACGGTGCCTTCGCCCTTGCCCTCGGCTCTGCTCGGCTCCGCTGGCCCCTGTCCCGCCGACACCGGCATCGCCCCGAGTGTGCACTCACCGCCTCTCCCGTTCTCTCCGCCGCAGTGCCCTTCCGCGAGGCCCCGGCGTACTCCAACCGCAGGCGGCGGGCCCCCAACACGCTGGCCGCGCCCCGGGTCCTGCTGCGTTCCAACAGCGACAACAACCTCAACTCCGGCGCGCCCAGCTGGGCCGTCTGCAACGCCGCCGCCGCCGCCGCCGCCCACCGCAGCCTCTCGCCCCAGCTGCTGCAGCAGACGACCGGCCCCGCCGACGGGGCCCTGCGGACCATCGGCAGCTACATCCCCGGGCCCCGCAGCCGGTCCCCGTCGCTCAACAGGCTCGGCGGTGCCGGCGAGGATGGCAAGAGGCCCCAGCAGGCCTGGCACGTGGGGTAAGGAGCGGCCGGGCAGGGGGGGACCGGCGTGGAGCCGGGGCAGCTGCCGAGGGGACCAGCAGGGGGAAGACCCTCGTGCACCGCGCTGCTGGTTCGGGAACCGGGGGTTTGCCCCGGGGGCTGAGCGCAGGGCCTGCCTCGCTCCGCCGTCCCGCGTGGGAGAGCCCCGTAAACCCAGAGTCCTGCCAACCGCCGGGCGCAGGCTGTCTCGGGAGACCGGAGAGGGCCCAGGAGCACTTGAGCCCGCCAGGGCCGCTGGGGGCAGGTGCAGGCCTGGTGGGGCGGGGAGGGGGGCTCCAGGCCACGTTTCCTGTCCTTTGACATTGGCTGCTGAGTCCTCGAGGTGACTTGCGAGCCCAGAGACAGCTGAGAGTTCTGCGGCTGCCCTGTTCGCGCACCTGCACACGTTTGCACTGCAGGTGCGCCGCACCTGGCGCACACAGGTGAGCAGTCTCGGGCTCTGCGGGGCCCGGGCAGGCCCGGGACACCCCAGTGACAGCTGTGTTGGCCCCGCTGCGCCCATCTCCGGAGCGGCCCTGGGTGGCCGGGGCCCGGCGTTGTCCCTTTTGTAGGCGAGGCCAGCACGGAGCCAGGGCCGGACAGTGGCCGGGTCCCTGAGTGGGGTGGGCGGTGGCGGCGGCCCTGGAGGGTTTCTCCCCCGGAACGCTGTCCTCCCCCTCGGTGCCCGGCAGGGGGGGTTTCCCGGCTGGCACGGCGTTTCTGGCGCTGCCCGCTCTGGCCTGGCACTCGGCGCCTGCCCCCGATTCCACACCCGCCTTTCATGTTCTCTCCCTGGTCTCTGCAAGGCACTGGGCTCTCCAGCTCTGCCGGTGGCAACCCCTGCAGCTGAGAAGGGGGATGTGGGGAGGGCTGTGGGCTGGTGGGGAGCCCGGGGGTAGGGGGAGGGGAGAGGGCTCAGTGCTTCCCACGTGGGGGGTGGGGCTGACCACCGTGACCCTGAATGTGCGTGGAAGCCGTCTCTTGCCCCTCCGCGAGCCGCGGGCCCACCCTCTCAATGCCGCGCCGCCCCCAGCCCACCTCAGGGCTGGAGCCACCCCTCCTGCCTGGGGCCCACTCTCTGACCGGAGAGACCCAGTTAGTTCCGGGCTCTGGTCTAGATTCTCACTCGGAGCCGCCCCGAGGGAGAAGTCCCAGGTGCTGAGAGCAGTTTAAAGCGAAATTACAGGGTTCCCCCAGGGCAGAAAACTCCACTTCCCGCCGCGCGCCAGAGTTATTATGACTGTAATTTCAAGAAGAGTGTGTCCCCTTCCTCCAGCGTGAAATCTATTAAGATGCGGATGGCGGGGTGGCCGGGGACTCGCAAAGGCTGCGGGGCGATACTGGGAGGAGAGAACGACTCCGGGGCACCTGCCGGGGCCGGTCCGATGCTCCCCGGCTCCCAGTGCGTGTGTGTGTGTGTGTGTGTGTGTGTGCAGTCGCGTGTGTGTGTGTATTTGTGTCTGTGAGTGCATTTCTCTGTGTGTGTGTGTGTGCACGCCCTGTGTGCACCTTTCCGAGTACTGCATGCACTCATGTGTGTGCGCGTTTGTGTTGTGTGTGGGTGCGTGTTCATATGTTGTGTGCACACGTGTGCATGCATTGCGTGTGTGCCGCCTGACCATTCTGTGCCTCAGTTTCCTCATATGTAAGATGGAGCCGACGGCTTGGTGGTGAGGACTCTGTTTACCTGGTTGCCCGTCCCGGGCAGGGAGCCCGTGTCCAGCTCACAGGAAGACCCGCAGCCGTGTTTGGTGTCCCTGGTGGTCGTGACCGCCAGGGACCCTGTAGGAGGGCCCTCTGGCCGCCGAGGGGCCAGCACAAGAGGGTGTCGGGGCCGCTGTCCAGGCGACGACTCCCAGCTCGGCTCAGGGACAGGGCGAGAAAGTCAGGGCCGCGGGGTCTTGGGCAGCACCCTGTGGCTCCCCACCCCCACCTCGTCCGCTCCTTTCTCCGCTGCTGCCCGTGGGGAAGGCTGGCCCCCAGCGCCCTCTCCCGGGCAGACCCCTTTGCCCTGGCACTGGCCTGAGGCCCCCGGATCCTCGGCCAGGAATGTGACCGCACATCAGTGTAGCTGGAACCAAGCCTTCGGGGGCAGACTTGGAGGGGAGGAGCCCAAGCTGGCCAAGCCCTGCCCACTGACCGCCGCCCTCCCCACCGGGGCTCTGTGGGTACTCAGGGCCACGGAGCCCAATCCGGGTCAGAGGGGCAGCTGACCAGAGTGCAGGGCACAAGGGAGAAGCCCGCCCAGAGCCTTTGGGGACCACGGTACCTGTTGAACCTTCTTTGCACCCCGGTCCTCCCCTCCACCCCAGAGGCTCCGCACACACCTACCTGGACACGCCCTCTAGTGGCGCCAACCGGCACGGCTGGCCCGTGTCCCTGACAACCGGCTGGGACTGGGTGTGGCTGCACCCACCTGCCCCATCACTCACCACCGAGTGTGGAGAGGAGTGGGGTCCTCCCAAGGCCCCTCCCAGCCCCCCAGGGGATGCCTGGCTCTCGCCGGGTTCGGAACAGCTCTTGATGTACTTCTGCAAAATCGGGGCAGCTGGCCCCTGGCATCGAGCGAGCCTGTCCTGGGTGCCCACGGGCAGGGGCCGGGCTGGAAATCTCCTGTTCCCGGGCGGCGCCGGGCAGAGGCTCGGGAAGGTCTGTCTTTTACCCAAGCCGCTTGCGAGTCCTTGAACTCAGGGCAGTGGGAAGCTGAGGCCAGGCGGGCAGCTGGGCGTGGGATGGAGAATGCTGGCAGAGGGGCCAGCCCCGTGCGGGGGTCAAGGCCAGGTGTGGGGGGGCACGGGGCCAGCCTCGGGCTGGTGCCCCCAGCCCCTCTGGGAGAAGGTGCCGTGGCTACAGCCAGTATTTCCCCCCCACCCCTCCCCGAGTAGGGGCCGTGTATCCGGGGCGCTGGGGGGGCGGGGAACACCAGCCTGAGACAGCGCCTCACATTCAGGGGCCGGCCTGCGCGGAGAGCAGGGCCTTCCACGTGGAGCCTGGGGCCCCAGAAATCACTGCCCCTCTTCCTGCGCAAGTGGCATCAGGAGTTCTGGAAGGTTCTGGGGTCGTGGGACCCCTTCTGCAAGCCCGCTCCTGCCTCTCATGGACATGGGGACCAGGGGCCTGGTTTCCTTGGTGACAGTGGTATCTGCTGCTCCCTCCCCTGTGTCCCCTCTGACCCAGAAAGGGGGGTGGGCCTTGCTGGCAGGACAGGGCGGGGACAGGGCAGGAGCCTGGCCGGCTGTGGAGTTAGACTGCCCTACCGCCCTGCCTGCCCCCCGGAGGCCAGGGCTAGGGATCCACGAGGAGCTGGGCTCCTGGGCTCCTGTTGGCCACCTGGACGGGGAGGTGCGGCCCGGTGAAGGGGACCCGCCCCGGGGGAGCAGGTGCATCTTGGTTGCTGAGGAATCGGGGTCCTGGCACCCCATGGGCCGCCCCTCACCTGTCACTTTCTCTCCTTCCGAGTTTGGGGATGTTCCGTGTTTGCTCTCCCAGTTGGTTTCCATGGGGGCGTCCCCATGCAGAGGGGAATTCCACGTCCCCACCCCGGACACAAGGGCTGGGACGGATCGGCCCCGGGGCTGCTGTGGTTGAAGATGCAGAGCCACAGACACCCCCCCGCCCTGAGCTCCCCGGACTCAGTGCCTACGAGTCCGGCTCCACCCTCTGTGGGGACGGGAGGCTCTCAGGGGGAGGGCGACCCCCAGACGGATGGAGAAAGGGGCTGGCTGGGCGTTAGGGAGGGTCCGAGGGTCCTGCGTGGCTGGGGCAGACAGCGGGCAGGCACCAGGCAGGAGGCCCGCTCAGAACTGCCCCCATCTCAGGGGCTCGTGACGCCCTCCCCGTTTCCCCGGAAGGGGTGTGCAGGGCAAGGGAGATTCCCACCACCCCGGAACCCTCTAGAACCCCTGTTTCTGCCTCTAAGCCAGAGTGGCCTTGGGCTTGCAGATGCGCAGAGCGAAACCCCAGTGGCCCGGGCTCGCCATGCAGAGTGTGGGGACCGCAGGACCAAGGGGTACTCGGCGGTGTGTGCACCGCGGTCCTCGGATCCCAATGCGCCCACTGCGCCCCGAGAAAGCCCCCGAACCCCGTGCACACTGGGTGCCCTGGCCAGCACCCCCCTGCAGCCAGCGAGTGGGACATCCTGGTGACTGTGTGTCCCCATTGTGGGTCCTCGGGACCTAAAGGGGAGGGTGGGGAGTGTGGGGTGCTGCCACCGGGACAGCAGAGGTGCAGCGACTCCCGGGAGCCCAGGGCGGTGTGCCCGCTGAGGGTGCTTACACTCCTCCCCAGCCCCAGGGCACAGGAAGGTGACGCTGACAGCAGTGGTGACCCGGGGCTGGGCTCCTAATGCTGAAGACACAGCTGTCAGCGGATGGTCAGGACTTGGGACACTCGTGTTGGGTGTGCCATGCTTTGCCAGAGCCCAAGCTGGCATCTCTCAGCATCCCTCCCGCCCCTGGGAGACACCCGATTTCGAGTAGGTCCCCAGTCCCGGCGCATCTGCTCCTTGAGCGTTCTCCTGTCGCTCGCTGCACCCCAGCCCTGCCCACAGGGGCTCCCCGCCCCCAGCCTTCCTCTCTCTAGTCCAGCCGTCCCACCGAGATGGGGCCCCTCCAGTCACGCCCCTGGTCTCTGGGGTGTCCGTTCCACCCCAAACACCCCTGCAGAGACATCCCTGCAGCCCACAGCCTTTCCCCGGTGCGCCCCGTCCTCTGTGCCGGCCCATCAGACATCAAGGAGAGGGTCTTCCTCACTCGTCCTTCGGCCCGTGAGGTCCAGGTTGTCTCATGTCCACCGGTGTCTGCAGACCCGCAAACACTTGCCCAGTGAATGGATGGATGGATGGATGGATGTGTAAGTGACTGGTGAATGAATGAATGGAGAAAGTCAACCCAATGAATGAATGAATGAATGAGTAGATGGATGTGTAAGTGACTGGGAGTGAATGAACAGAGAAAGTCAACCCAATGAATGGATGGTGGATGAATGGATGGATGGATGAATGGATGGATGGGTGGGTGGATGGATGGGTGTATGGGTGGGTGGGTGGATGTGTAGTGACCGGGAATGAAAGACGGAGGAAGTCCACGTCCAGGCAGGGCCCTGTCCCCCGGGATGGCTGCGAAATGGCTCAGTCCACTCATCCACGGTGGCCCCTGGCTCTGCTCCTGAGAATTTGGTGACCTAACCCTCACACCCAAACGCCGAGGTCGGGATCCCATCCAGCTGTGTGTGGCCACCTCGCCCACGCCTAGGTGCACCGCTCAGCGGCATTAAGTACACTCGCAGGGTCACCACCATCGTCTCCAGAACTTTCTCATCTTCCCGAACCGAAGCTCTGTCCCCATTAAACACCAACTCTCCTGCCCCTCCCCCGGCCCCGGCCCGCTTCCTGCTACGAATCCCCCTGTGCGTGGGGTCACACAGCATCTGCCCTTCTGCGTCTGGCTCACCCGCTCAGCACGGCGCCCTCCAGGCCCAGCCACGCTGCAGCGGGGGTCAGCACGCCCCTCCCCTTTAAGGCCGAGTCGCCGACCACTGTGTGGACGGGCCGTGTATCTTGTGTCCATCATCCGCCCACGGGCACTCGGTGTCTCCGCGTCTCGGCCGTTGTGACCGACGCCGCTGCCAACGTGGGTGTGCGTGCAGACACCTGTCGGAGCCGCTGCCCTCGCTTCTTTGGGGACACGCCCAGGATGAAATCGCCCAGTCTACCTGGCGCCGGGGCCCTGTCTCGTCTTCGGCCCCATCCGGATTCGGGAGCTCCGACGTGACCGCTCTCAACGCGGCGCAGTCGGGAGCCAACTGGCCGCAGGTCCGCCGCGGGGCCTCCCCTGTCTCAGCCGTGACCCCTTCTGTCCCCCCCCCACCCCGCCCCCCGCAGGCCGACCTTCCCGCCCGTGGCCAGCAAGGAGGCCTTCTCCGCCGTCGAGTACCCGGGGCCCAAGCGGAAGCTGTACAGCGCGGTGCCTGGGAGACTCTTCGTCGTCGTCAAGCCATACCAACCCCAGGTCGACGGCGAGATCCCCCTGCACCGGGGCGACAGGGTCAAAGGTCAGTTCCACGCACGCCCTCCGCTTCTGGGGCAAGGTCGGACCCGGGCCCCCGCGGAAAACGTGGGACCCCGGGAGCAGGTGGCAGACAGAGGAAACTTGCCAGACACTTCCCCGGGGACGCAGCCTCAGTGTCCCGGCTGCCTGTTCGGGAGGGTTCGGGAGGGCGGCGCAGGTGTGGGGCGGGGTCCCGTTGCAGAGGAGAGTGCGGGGAGGGACGGGCCAGGGCCTCGTCACCAGCTCTCCTCCCACCAGGAAACCCCGAGGGCCGCCCGAGGAAGCGGCGCTGGCCCTGGTCCTAGCAGGGTCGGGTCTGGGTGCATCTCGTCAGGAGTCCGCGTTCCGGGGGCAGTGGGGGGCCAGCGGCGGTTTCCGAGCAGGAAGATCCGGAACCTCAGGCCCTCGTGAGGGGCGGGTCCCGGGGGAGGCCGGCAAGTGGCTGCGGCCAAAGCCTGTGGCACCGAAGGCCGTGGGAGGGGCATGGAGATGGGGCTGGCTTCACGCCCCGACGTCCAGGGTCGAGGGTCGGCATCAGGAGGTGGCTGGCTCGGGTGGGACTCGGGCCCCTGGAGGTGGGAAGGCCAGGCTCACATCCTGCCGGCCCTTCGGTCTCTGTCTGGGCCCGAGCCCCTCAAGAACCCAGCTCTCCCCGCCCCTCCGGGCCCCTCACGCTAACCGGGCCAGCCTCCTCCGCGGGCCAACGAGTGTCCGGAGGCAGGTGGGGCCCACCCTCTCCTGGCCCCTTCTGCTCCTGAGGCCGCGCACCGCCCAGCCCTCTGGTCGCCTCAGCGTGCCCCCGGGGGCCGCGTCTCCTTCTCTACCTGTATCCTCTTGGTCGACCCGAGTTCAGGCTCATGTGCCCGCCCGCCCCCCCACCCCCCAGAAGGTCCCTTTAGCCGTCAAGCCCCCCCCGGTGAATTTCTTAATTGCAAAAACAACACGTCCAAGCCCCAGCGTTTCCGAGTGTGTTTTTAATCGTTTCTTTTTATTTCCCGAGCCTCTTCATTGCCCCGTTGAGGGTCTTCGAGCCCCGGCAGCGCGTGCTGTTTTACGGCAGCGCGGGTGGGACGATCGTCCCTTTACAGTCCCTGTCCTTCTGTCCCGCCTCCCGGGCCGTCCCCCCCCGGGGCCGGCTCGCCTGGGGGCGGGCCCCCTGCTCCCAGGGCTCGGGGTCCGGGCCGGTGACCCCCTTTGGGGGCCGAGCACCGCGGTCGTGCGGAGTCCGGCTTCGCTTGGGGGGCGCTCGGGCAGGCTCAGGTCTCGGACTCGAGCCGCTCTGTGCCTGTCCCGCACCTGCACACGCGTTTCCTGGGGTCGGTGGGAGACGTCGGGGGCTGCGGTTCCCGGCCCTCTCTGGCTCTTTCCCTGGGGCGGGGGGATGCCCGCCCTCGTCTCTCCGTTCCTGACTCGTCTGTCTGGTTCTCCAGGCCACGGAGGCTGCCGGCCTCGCCCCTGGGTCCCTCGGCAGGCCTGCTGTGCGTGGACTCCAGTTAGTCCAGGCCCGAGCCGAGGACGGGGCGCGGGCAGAATACGGCAGGTGTGTGCCCGGGACCGAGCCTGCCGTGGCCCTCAGGTCCACTGGGAAGTCGTGGGGCACGGCCCGGTCGGCTGGGCGGCGCGGAACGTCCGGGGCCAGCGTGGAGTTTTGGAGCAAATGCTCCGCGTGGGCGTGGCTGTCCCCACCCGCCGGGAGGGTGCTTGTCTGTTTCCTTCAGGTCGTTTCCTTGCGTGTCAGGCAAAGACGCACAAAGCCAGGTTTCTCCGTTTGGCTGACCTTCCAAAGTCAAGGTTCTAGCTGCTCTTTGTCTGGCCTCTGAGATGCCCGTGAGGGGCGGAGGGGAGCACTGGCAGCCCCGGTGCTGGTCCGGACGGTGCCTGGGGTGCGCCTGCGGGTTCCTGACGCCGGCCCCCGCCCCATGCGCCCTGGTCTCCAAGCAGGTGTGGGCCCACTCTCGGCGGTGCTGGGCCGGGTGACAAACACTTCGCTCTCTGGCGGGGGGTTACTGAGGCCCTTCCGTGCGCCCAGTGTGGAAGGCCAGCCGGGAAGGCCAGCTCTGTGGGCGGGCGCTGTGTCGGTGGCGTCCGCACGGGGCAGAGCCACCCCACCCCGCCACCCCTTCCCCACGGGGACGGCAAACCCCTGCTCCTCGCCGGGACCCACCTGGTCAGCAGGGGCTCTTCCTGGCTACACTCCAGCACGCCACAGGGCCGGCACTCCGTGGCGCGAGCATGGGCCAAGTGCGTCTTTCACTCCCGCCCTTTCCTCCCGTCCGGCCGGCCCGGGCTCGCCGCACAGCCGCCATGGCTTCCCCGTCTCCTGCCGCGACCGTTCTTTCCTCAAACTAAAAGGTCCTGGGGACCCCGACCCTTGGGGCCCTCCCTGGCTTGGGGGGGGCAGAAACCACCTCAGCCTCCTGCTCCCCTTGGGGGCGGCCTGCCTGCCCCCCCGCCCGCTTCCCACTGTCCCGTGTCGGTGGGACAGAGTGGCCATGGGATGTGGTGTGGGCTGTGAAGAGGCTCTCAGTCTGTCCTGAGGCCTGCCAGGCAGAGGGGACACTGGGGCTGCAGTGCTAACACCCTCGGCACTGTCCTCCCCCGGGACGCTGCCTGGTCCCCTCGTCCACGGCCAAAGGAAGAGTGGTCGGTGGCAAAGGGACCGGAGCCTGGCCAATGACATTTTGGCCTCACTGCTGTGGCCAGCGCCCTCCTCCCGCTCACCCCCAGGCCCTCCTGCCCTGCCCCCCTCCCCCCGCACTAACTCCACCCTGTCCCCTTGTCTCTAGTTCTGAGCATCGGCGAAGGGGGCTTCTGGGAAGGCAGTGCCCGCGGCCACATCGGGTGGTTCCCGGCCGAGTGCGTGGAGGAGGTGCAGTACCGGCCCCAGGACAGCCAGGCAGGTGAGGCGGCCTCGGCGAGGCCCGGGCGGCGGTGGCGGGCCCGGGGTGCGTGCGGGGCGGGGGTGGTGGTGATGGGGGGTCGGCTGGTGCCTCGGTCCGGGATCCGGCCGGGTTTCGGAGCAACCGAAACCAGTGCAGGGCGGCGCGGAAGCTTCCGGGGAAGGGGCTGCTCCGCACAGGTCTGGGAACACCTGGGTCGCACGGTCCAGCCGTCAGAGAAAAGGCTCTTGGGCTGACGAAGTGCCCGAGGCCTCCTCGCCGGTCTCGTAGACAGGCGGCTCCGAGCCACGGCGGGCCTTGCCCAGGCCCTCCCCGGGAACTGCGCCCTGCCGCATCCCCGTGAAAACCGCTCAGGGCGGTCGGTGTTCACGCGGCAAAACCGACCTGGGCCCTGGGAGTCACGGTGTAGCCTTGTGGAAGACCGTTTTAACACTGGTTGCCGAGAGACTGAGTCTAAATCTCTTGAGAATCGTGGAAGGCAGATCCTGGTCTGCGTGTCCCTCTGCTGGCTTTGGGTGGCACCCCAGCTCAGGCCACGCGTGGGGAGTGGCCACGCTCGCCGTGGCTGGTGGCGCTGCTGCATGCACCTGTGCGGGCGCCGGCCGGCAGGTGCAGGGCCGGTGTGAGCAGGGACCCTGCCCCCTGGGAGGGCGCTGGCTCCCCACTCACGTCGTCCAGGCCCAGTCGCGTCACCTGGGTGCCACAGGTGGGCACCGAGAGGCGGGCGTCCGGGGGCGACTTCTCGTGGTCAGGCTCCTCACTCCGTGACCCATGACCGGCCTCTGCCTTCGCTGCCTCCGCTTCCCGTCTGCTGCGTGGATGGGACAGTTCAGTGCGGCGCTCGTGAGAGTGTTGTGTTCTTGTTTGTTTGCGCAAAGCACCACGAACACACAGAAACATTCCCGCCCCATCCATGTGTCCCTCAGTGAGTGGTTGTGAAACAGCCCCCCGCTCTGTGTAACCGGCACCCCAAGTCCCCGTGTGCCCCTTCTCCCATCGCCAAACTGTGTCGGGCTCTGTCCTGGCCTCTCCCAACACCCACGAGTGCATCTGGGCTGTGGGTGGGGCTCCGGGTCATCCTTTTGGGGGTGAGGCCCTCTGTCCCTCCGGTCCTCTTGGCCTGGGGCTGTCGCAGCAGGGTTCCAGGGTCCTCACTTGTCCCCTAGTGGGAACGTGGGCACCCCACTGTTGTCCAGCCCCCAGGAGAGACCTGTGGTCATGGCAGGAGTGTCCTCTGCTTTTCTGGAGGTGCAGGCCCGGGGTGGGAATCTGAGTCACCTGACCCCAGGGACCTCTGGATCCGTAGCCCTCGGGCAGGGACCCAGTGCAGACACTGCCCAGAGAAGGGGAGCACGGGGGGGAGAGGGTGACAACCCTTAGTTCATAGAAACCTGCCCTGGACCCCTGGCCCAGGGCCTCTGTGTGCTTCCCCCCTGCCCACAGCTCAGGGGCTGTCCCGGTCTTGGTCATTCCTTTCATTGGAGATGACAAAACCTCCAGGCTCCCTACAGCACTCCTGGCCCCCAAAAGGGAATTGATCAGCTTGCATAATTAAAGAGGCCAGAATACTGGCTTCAGGTATAGCTGGATCCAGGTGTGTCGTGTCTCCAGGGAGCTTTCTCTCCGTCTCCAGGCGCTGGTCCCCCCGTGACAGCTTTGTTCCCTGGCCAGCTCCGCTCTCGGGGTGGTCGTGCAGCAGCTGGGCTTCTAGTGTCCGAGGTCCAAGCGCACCAGAGAGAGAGCGGCTCCTTCCTGCCCGCTTAGCAAACGCCCAGGGTGGGCCCCGGCCCAGTGGCCTCGAGTCACGCCCAGACCCACCCAGAACCAGTCGCTGCGGCTAAGGAATGCGTGTGCCTAGGAAGTGTGGCTGGCCGGGTCCGGGTGCCGGGGGGGGACGGCCTGCCTAGGACAGTGGGGTGCCACGGCCAGCAGAGGAAAGGGGACAGCGGCTGCGGGTGTCCCTCCAGCAGGGAGGCCAGCAGCCTGCTTTCGCCCAGCCCGGAGCCCTCCCCTGGGAGTCAGGGAAGTCGGGGGTGGGGTGGGCCCATCAGCCTCGTTTCTGGGCGTCTCTGGGCGGCCCCTTCGGGGCAGGGGCTCGCCGAGCCCCGCTCCTGAACCCAAGTCCCATTAGTCACGGTGGGCACAAACCTCTGCCAGACGTCACCACAGGCGTGGCTGGTTCCAAAATAGCCTGTTTTCCTGTTATCTTTAGGACATTTGAAAATACAGGCCAGCGCTGCTGTGAGCACGGTTGCAATCTGAAATATTAATCAGCCGCCAAAGGGCTGGCCTCGGAGGGAGTGACTGGCTGTCCCCGAACAAAGGAGGCCTCGTCCCGGCTGCGAGGGACGGCGCTTTTGTCCACCGCCCCGGGCAGAGCCCCACCCGCCCCCCTCCCTCCTTCTACGCCATTTTATTAAAAGGCGCTCGCAGCCTCGCCTCCTGGGTGCCCCCACCCCGGGCCTCCAAGCAGCTGCTGTGCGTTTTAGGTGCCGCTTTCCACGCTCGGGCCCACCCCCAGACTAGAGTTCCGTGGGGGCCCTCAGGAGGGTCCAGTCCTTGGTGGTGACGCTCTGGGAGCCAGGCCCTCCCCTCCCGCCCCTCCCAGCTGGGGGCCTAGGGGATGGTCAGCCCTGGTTACCACAGCAACCTGGGATGCTGGGGCCGGCCCTGCCCTGCTTCCCCACGGACCCTCCTGCCGCTACAGCACGTGGGGCTCTGTCTGTCGGGAAGTCGCCCTGCGCAGCCCACGCTCCGGCCCTGCATTCTGCGCCGACGGGGGTGCCGGGGCTCAGACTCAGGGGCGTGGGGGAGGCCTCACTCCTGCACCGGGCGGTGGCTGTGGACAGGAGAGAGTGTCTCAGTGGCCTGGCAGGGCCCCCAGGGTAAATGTGACAGCCCGGAGGGCAAGCAACAGTCCAGGAGGCTGCGGGTCCCAGGTCCGGGGTGGGCAGCGGACAGCTGTCCTCTCCCTGCGTCCTCCTGTGGCCTGTCCCTTTCTATAAGGACGCCAACCCTACAGGAAAGGCCCCACCCTATGACCTCGCTGAACCCTCATCACCCCCCTCAAGGCCCCTCTCCAAGCAGCCACAGTGGGGGCTGCAGCGTCAGCCTATGGATCTGGGGCACACGGTTCAGTCCCTAACTGGGGTGAAGAGGTGGGGCCGCAACCTGACATGCTCCTGCGGACACCTTCCCTTCTGTCCTTCCTGCGCAGTCCCCTCCCGGGGTGGGGGGGCATTCTGTCATCTGAGTCCAGGGCAGTGACTGTCCTGCAGCCTGAGCAGGCTGCACGCTGACCCTCCAGCATTCGGGGGGCCCGTGGGTCAGCTGCAGGGCCCGGCCGCTGCTCAGGAGAGCAGGCCCGCAGCCCCAGGCCAAGGGACACGCTGACACTGGACTCCTTGCGAGGTCACCGGCCTGGAGCGGGGCTTCGAGGACGCCTTGCTCTGTGGCCGTGGACGCGCTGCTCCACCGGCGTGAGCCACGGGCTCCTGCCCTGGGGGCCGGCAGTGTCAAGGGGGGTGGGTCCACGGCAGGGCCGCTGGGGGCTGGGGGCATCCGTCGTGGAAGGCTGCCGGAACGGAGCAGGCTGGCTGTCAGACCCGCTCACGGGAGGGACGCTGGCTGTCGGCCCTTGCCATCCGAGGTGCCACCTCTGAGCCTACGAGCTTTTGTTCGAACGCCCCTGTTCAGTTTGGGGGCAGACACCCTCGGGGGGGGGGGGCGCTCGGGGAGATGCTGAGTCCCGTGGCCGCTCGCTGTTCAGCCCGTGGAGGACCCGCCCGCCTGTTCCCCCGGCCGCTGCACCGTCGGACGCCCCGCCGGCAGCACAGAAAGTTCCGCCTTCCCCACATCCTCCCGTCCCGGCGGGCGGGGGTGGTGCGAGCTCCCCGCGGCACGGTCTGCGTTTCCCCGGGAACCTTTCCTGTACTCGCCGGCTCCTCGCGCGTCTTCTTTGGGGCGGCGCTGGCTCTGTGCTTTGTGAACCGCCGCGTGGCTGTGCACGTCGAGTCCGGCCCCATAGGGAACCGGGCCGGTGCAGGGAGGTAGAAAGAGGACAGTATAAACCAGTCCGGAGGGGTCTCCTCGGCCACCGGGGCCTGCCTCGACCTTTAAGCTGGACACCAACCTGCAGGCGCCCAACCCTGACCGATGGGCTCAGAGGGGACCCGCCGGGCAGGTCAGCAGGGACGCCCGGTGGCCGTCCTGAGCCTGGGTGCGCACTGCGGGCTTTCTGTCGGCGGGGACAGGGCTGGGCTGGCTCCGTTTCCCAGGAGGGCTCCCCGGGAGAGGAGGGGCGGTAGCCTGGCTCTAAGTCGCACAACTGGTGTCCCGGAGCGGAGACTGGAACCTGCCCTCGGCCCGCGATGGGGGCTTGGTCTGACCCCGGTACCTGGCTGAGGAGGGTCCATCTCCACCCACCCACCCCCGGCCCCCGCCACACACCAGCCCGGCGGGGGAGGCCCAGGTCGTGCCGCCCAGCTGCCATCGCCCCACAGCCAGAGCCGGCGTGGAGACGGAGGCGGAGGAAGGGGAGGAGGAGGAGGAGCCCACTCCAGCTGCAGGCACCCGGCCTGCTGCGCCTGCAGGGCCCCAAGGTGCTGGCGCATCTCCCCCTGGCACTCGGAGCGCTTGTGCGGTCACGAGCCGCACCGCAGCAGCACGGGAGTTGCACACACGTGCACGTGTGCTTTGCACGCACCGGTATGCTTGTGTGTGGACATGCATGCAGGCACACGTGGGCACACGTGTCATTCCACGGGTCCTCGAGGGGGCTGGAGGGGCCCCGCGTGTGCCCGGGTGTGCAGTGCATGTGCCGTGCGTGCGCCCAGTGCCAGCCCCGGGGAGTGTGCGGCCCCCACGCGGCACGGGGCCATGCTCTGCCCCGTGCGCTGGAGCAGGCACAGTTCCCGGTGACGACCTGACCTAGTTCTTGTCCCCGGGGTGCCAGCTTCGCTCTCGGACAGTCCTCGGAGGAGTCTCACTGCCGGGACACT